AACCCACCCCGGAGCCCCGACCGACAACCCACCCCGGGGCCCGACAGAGAACCCACCGGGGACCGACAGAGAACCCACTTGGGGCCCGACAGAGAACCCACTTGGGGCCCGACAGAGAACCCACACTTGGGGCCCGACAGAGAACCCACTTGGGGCCCGACAGAGAACCCACTTGGGGCCCGACAGAGAACCCACTTGGGGCCCGACAGAGAACCCACTTGGGGCCCGACAGAGAACCCACTTGGGGCCCGACAGAGAACCCACTTGGGGCCCGACAGAGAACCCACTTGGGGCCCGACAGAGAACCCACTTGGGGCCCGACAGAGAACCCACTTGGGGCCCGACAGAGAACCCACTTGGGGCCCGACAGAGAACCCACTTGGGGCCCGACAGAGAACCCACTTGGGGCCCGACAGAGAACCCACTTGGGGCCCGACAGAGAACCCACTTGGGGCCCGACAGAGAACCCACTTGGGTCCCGACAGAGAACCCACTTGGGGCCCGACAGAGAACCCACTTGGGGCCCGACAGAGAACCCACTTGGGGCCCGACAGAGAACCCACTTGGGGCCCGACAGAGAACCCACTTGGGGCCCGACAGAGAACCCACTTGGGGCCCGACAGAGAACCCACTTGGGGCCCGACAGAGAACCCACTTGGGGCCCGACAGAGAACCCACTTGGGGCCCGACAGAGAACCCACTTGGGGCCCGACAGAGAACCCACTTGGGGCCCGACAGAGAACCCACTTGGAGCCCGACAGAGAACCCACTTGGAGCCCGACAGAGAACCCACTTGGAGCCCGACAGAGAACCCACTTGGAGCCCGACAGAGAACCCACCCCGCGCCCAACCTTTCATGGAGAAAATTGAACACCAGGCGACAAAAATAATTGCAGAATGAGGTCTAGTTTCATACCATGAACGGTTGAGGGTCACAGGGCTAACAACACTGCAAACTAGGCATGCCAGGATGGATCTCACCGAAACTATTAAAATATCGACTTGAATCGACTTGAGAATGGTCCAGGACGGACCGAAACTCGTCGTCCCTTCAACTTCTAGTGTGTGGTCTGGTCAACATACTTCAGCCACGTTATTGTGACTCATCGCCTGCCTATTAAAATATTGAACAGTTTCGAAGATATGGATCCAGAGAACAACTTCAAAAGGTCAGATGGAACACAAACAAGGAACAACAGTTTCAAGTCCAACAAGCCGCAGTGTAGGACTGAAAACATGAGCTATATTTTCACCCACAGGGTTATAAACCCATGGAACCGCCTATCTGCTAAAGCAGTAAATAACATAACACTTGAATTGTAAAATCCAATTTGAAAAAAAATCTGAACAAATGGGGGATCTGATCTGCTACCAGAAATTTTAGCCAAATATCCCCAGTCTGCTAACTGTAGGTAGTAACCGAGTGATTGTAACCTAATCCACCGCTGCCCACTGGATGGGGGGCGGTGTGAAGGACAAACAAATTGTGACACTAGCTCTCCACATATGTCAGTTGCTTAATTTAGAACCTGTACTTGAGGTCGATCTCGAACCCATTGTTGATGTGACGACTTATATTGAATTTTGTAATAGCTCATCAAGATTGTAACATGCTTAGCTAAATGAATTGTGGGGTTCAGTCCCTGAGCCCATTATGTGCCTCTGTAACCCTTTCCACTACCGCCCAGCAGAGGTACAGCAGGTACTCAGAGAGAACTATCAACATCAGAGGCCCGAGACTGTTCAACACGCTTCCACTACACATAAGGGGCATAACTGGCCAACCCCTCACAGTGTTCAAGAGAGAACTGGATAAGCACCTCCAAAGGATACCTGATCAACCAGGCTGTGACGCATACGTCAGGCTGCGAGCAGCTGCGTCCAACAGCCTGGTTGATCAGTCCAGCAACCAGGAGGCCTGGTCGACGACCGGGCCGCGGGGACAAGCCTCAAGGTAGCCCACAAGATGGGTATGGGGTGCATAATAAACGAACTAAACTAACATTGATAGGCATTGTTCGAAGCAAACCCCATTATATTATATAATTCTATATACTGTGTATATATAAGATATAAATATGTCAAAAAGAATTATCACTCTTACCTGGAGCAATGTTGCTGATGTCGGAAATCAGCGGTAGGTACATGTTGTCGCGTTGGCGGCAGCGACAATACTAAGCAGCTGACCCTTCAACGACCAACCGCCGTTTGAACGCCATTTTGAAATTCCAGGCGTACTACCCGAAAAGTGCGTAAACTAGTATTTGCGTGCATTATAGGCCATTCCAAGAAACCTTTTTGCTATGAATATCTTGTTATCTAACAAACGAATTATTTATGTTAATATTTTTAGCACATATGTTAAATTAGGCCATTTTTCATTTAGAGGGGGTATATATATATATAGCTATTTACATTTTAAGTTTGAAAAATTACCGTACAAAATTGAATGCAAAGATAAATAAGATTTATTTATACAACCCTGTTTGGAAATTAACTCCTTTTACAATGAAATAAGACGCAAATAAGAACTTCAATTGTGTAGTGAATTTATGCATTTTGATTTGATTAAAAGCTTAGGTAGTACAATGTACTACTTCTACTAATACCATATTATATATGAGGGGCTACTAAATAAAATTAAAGCACAAGCATGTTCACCTAATATCATTAGCTGACAGGTGAAATAATATGAAAGTCGGAAACTATTTGATTCTCTCTTAGAATTTCTACTAATCCTTTCTTTCGTCGAGACCAATATATGTCAGTGACCCCTCAGATAAATTTCATTTGCAGAAATCAAATTATTCAGACCGTTTCAAAGAAAACGAGTTAGATATACTTTTATATTTTACCTGAATTTACCCGAGTCTGCAGTTTAATGCTGATAAATGTAAAGTTCTGAGGCTAGGTAATGATGATAGAGTTACAAGATACGAGCTTGATGGTGTTGAGATTGCGAAGTCGGATTGCGAAAGGGATCTGGGAGATATGATTAGTAAGAATTTAAAACAAAATGATCAATGCCTGAATGTTCGTAATAAGGCAAATAGGATACTGGGATTTATTAATCGAAGCGTTAGTAACAAGACACCTGGTGTTGTTCTTCAGTTATATCTTGCTCTGGTTTGGTCCCATTTAGATTATGCAGTTCAGTTTTGGTCGCCGTATTATAGAATGGATATAAATTCACTTGAACGTGTCCAGCGTAGGATGACTAAGTTAATTCCCCAAATTAGAAATCTTTCATATGAAGAAAGATTAACAAAGCTTAAGTTGCATTCACTGGAAAGGCGAAGAGTTAGGGGTGACATGATAGAGGTTTACAAGTGGATGAATGGACATAACAAAGGGGATAACAGCCATTACATGCCCTTTCCACTACCACCCACAAGATGGGTATGGGGTGCATAATAAATGAACTAAACTAACTAACTAAAAAAGTATCAACACAAGACAGAACACGAAACAATGGGTATAAATTGGATAAGTTTAGATTTAGGAAAGACTTGGGTAAATACTGGTTCGGTAACAGGGTTGTTGATTTGTGGAACCAATTACCGCGTAACGTGGTGGAGGTGGGGTCCCTCGATTGTTTCAAGCGCGGGTTGGACATGTATATGAGTGGGATTGGGTGGTTATAGATAGGAGCTGCCTCGTATGAGCCAATAGGTCTTCGGCAGTTACCTTGTTCTTATGTTCTTATGATTCACTAACACTAGTGGCCTCGACGAAGACAGGAAGCGGCTTCTTGTTAGAAGCCGGCGGCCTGTCAAAGGTCGCCATTTATTTTGATGATTTTTTTCACGCTAGATCTTAAAATTCAACAGTGTTTTGACATTTACGGCTTCGGCGGGTAGGTAGTTCCATGGGTTTATAACCCTGTGGGTTAAAAAGCAGCTCCTGTTTTCAGACCTACATTGAGGTTTAAGCTTGAAACCGTTGTTCCTTGTTTGTGTTGCATCTGACATCTTGAAGAAGTTGTCTGGTTCAACATCCTCCAAATTATTAAGTGTTTTAAACGTTTCGGTGAAATCCGCTGTCATGCGTGGTTTGCAGTGTGGTTATACCATCTTGTATATAAATAAATAAGTAAATAAGGTTAGCTCTGTGGCCCTTAACCATTCTTGGTATGAGAGTTGACTTAGTTCTGGGATATTTATATCGGCCGGTGTTGAACTTTCTTCGGTGAAACTATATCTTAAAATAAAAAAAAAAAAAAAAAAAAAAAAAAAATGTTTATTTAGGTAAGGTACATACATACAATAAATTTTTACAAAGAATGGTTGACTTATAGGTAGAGCTAGTACATGCAATGCCTAAAGCCACTATTACGCAAAGCGTTTCGGGCATGATAAACTTAAATGACAAGATTAATACTAATTGAGCATAATGAGTAGAATGAAAACATAGATGAAAAAGCCGCACAAATACAATTATGTCGACAAACAGCGCTCTTTAAAAAAAACAGACATTGGTTGACAATAGAAGGGTAAGGTAGGTTACAGGGAATTTATTAGGTATAGCTTCGTTTTTAACTTAAACTGGTTGAGAGAGGTACAGTCTTTAACATGGTTGGGAAGGTCATTCCACATTCTGGGCCCCTTGATTTGTAGAGCATTTCTAGTTTGATTAAGTCGTACTCTAGGAATATCAAAACTGTACTTATTTCTGGTGTGGTGCTCATGGGTTCTGTTACATCCTTCTATGAAGCTTTTGAGATCAGGATTGGCATTATAGTTTAGCGTTTTATATATGTATAATACACATGAGAGAATGTGCAGTGACTTAATGTCTAACATATTCAGTGATTTGAGTAGGGGTACCGAGGGGGTATCTTATGATAATGAGGTTTCAATGCTTGGAGTCAATAATCAAAGTGAGGATTTAGATCACCACTGTAGCGAGTAAGCCTTATACTTGCTCCATTATCTCATCATCTTAATGGCATAACTAATTAGCACTAATTACACAAGCTATAATCCTATCCCTATTTACAGGTAACGGTTTCTGCCCTCCTATCTTATTGTGAGGTGAAGTCACCGTATATAAGCAAGCGATTTGAGAATAGCAAACCTCTGGAGACATCTCCCGTCACGCAGGGTGCAGTCGCACCTCCACAGATCTCCAGTATCAGCTCTTAATACTGGTAATGGCTCAAAAGGGCCACCACTTACAGGCTATTCATACTCGTGCCACTTCTTGGGTGGCTTAATCTTTATCATCAATCAATCAATCGAATAGCAAAGCAGTACAATTTCAAGTCAACAATGTAGCACTCGACGTGTACAGTTCTAATCGACCCAAGATGCTACAGCCTCGACACAGAGCAGACAGCAGACTACGACCTCATCGAGCTACAACGCTCTCCCACATAGAGCTCCGCGACTCCGGCCACACTCAGCTCTGCTCCAAGCCCCGTCTCAACGTCTACGACACTGCTGTATCTAGGACTACTAAATAAATATGAAACTAACTAAACACTGTATCTAATGTACCCAACAACGTAACATAACCGTACGTTACAGCGCTTTCCCCCCTGAGAGTTCTCTTCCCTTCCCTTCTCTGATACGAGAGCGCTTTGTTAACAAACAAAGTAATACAAACAGTGCGCTAAGCATTGTTAATGGAAGCGCTAATAATTATATGATGAAGTGTTATGTATTTATTCAGACGAGAACAGCAGCGAACACAAACCAGCGCATATACGAACAAATTGGTTTGGAAGTACAAATTTCTCAGTGAACGAAGTTGTTTCTAGCCCGGTATCCGAAATTACAGTAGACGACTTGTTTAGTTTAGTTCATTTATTATGCACCCCATACCCATCTTGTGGGCGGTAGTGAAAAGGGTTACAGAGGCACATAATGGACTCAGGGACTAAACCCCACAATTCATTTAGCTAAGCAAGTTACAATCTTGAGCTAGTTACAAAATTCAGACGACTTGGCCAGTCCCCCTCGAGGCCGACCATAGTGTGTTCGAAGCTCGAGTGAGCGAGACAGCGAGGCGACGAGGGGCTCCCCACCACGATCACACCATCACTCTCCCCTCCACCTCTACACCACCGGTGTCCCCTCTACACTACCGGTGTTAATGATGGCAGCTTTCCGTCACACTCCCTTGACCTTCGTCAGGTAATGAAAGGCGGCGGGGAGGTGTTGTTTCAAACTGCTTGATGTCTTTGAGATTCGTTGTATGGTGTCCGCGGTGTCTTGGCGATACAATTGGGTTTTATATTCGTTTGGGGGAAACTTTGTGGTATTGGTGTAAAAAGGACTTCCCCAAGGGAGCCACCATCTCTAGTAGTCTCGACATGGCCCAGAAGCCGGCGGCTTGTCTGGAGTTACTCTTTTTCTCCAGACTTTGAAAATCTGTTCTCAAACATGGCCAAAGTATTGCCATCAAACTTTGCACCTCGCACTGCCACAGCTTTCCCATATAATTTTCAGACTTCAAAGTACAATGAGAAATTGAGTGAAGCGTCCTATTGTTAATTAAATCGTGATGTTCCTAATCGTTGACTACCTTTTAATCCACTTCTTGAATCTGTGCATCTATGGTCTAAACCTCGACTGGCCATTATTTATTAAGTTGTCTTATTCCTCCCCAGAGAATGCTAGCAAAATATTGATGCTGTGAACTATTGATTAAACTATTTCTCTACCAAAAAATCTTTAATGTCTCAAAATTGATGTGAATTTCGTAACTTTGACTAACAAATGGTCCTATGGTAAAGTATAAACCCTAGATTGTTGCTGTTGAAAATAACATTTTGTTTACTTTAATTTGAAAGCAAAATTACCTTTTTATAACCTGGAAGTGTAAAAGTTTGCTATACTACCTAGAAGTCCATAACTATTACTAGGTTAAAAAAAACTTAAAACTAATTGAACTTTTGCACTTAGTGTGTAAACAAAGGTCTTGAATATACACTAGTTAGGACAACTTGAATTTACTTAAATCTGGTATGTCGTCTACTTGAAAGTAAAGTCCTTGGCATGTGATCGAACCTTAATAATGTGCTCCGGAGAGTGCGAGACATGTACTGTACTTGGTCATTTGCTATACTAAAGTTTATTTTGGTTGATTTTGTATACTGTGTAAGGTCTATAGACATACTAGTTTGTCCTTGACAAGCTAGTCCAGAAACTTCAATAGATGACTTTTACCTAATTTTTTATCTTTGTCCTAGAATGTTCTGCTTAACGTTGGTCGTGACCATGACCATGGCTCAGAAGTCGAGAGATGTGGATACTCTAATAAACACTTGTATAGATTCTAAACATCACTAAAGTGCACCAGGACCAGAAGGCAGTCTGTTTACTACGGTATGGATAATTTCTTTTAACGTCTTGCTTTTTAATGTACAATATTGTCACTACAGTAGATTAAAAAAAAAAAAAAAATCTGAAGCCTTCAAAAATATGCTTTTAGCTGTAAAGAGCTTTTGACAGTAGTCAAACTTGATATCCTTTCTACCTAAATGATAAATTGCTTAACAGAAAGTACCTCTTTTTATATTTGATTTTTTAGCGTCATCAGTGGAAGAATAGGTCCTGCTGTACAGAGAATACTACTAGACTTATTCACGAGTCTAGTCCTTACAACTTCAATTATGACCACTGTTCTCGAGTAGAGTCCCTGTCCTCGGAATGTAAACTGCATTTCATGCTCGATCACTGCTTTTACGAATGTTCACCCAATGTTGGCCCATGGGTCGTGTCGGTAAGTATTGCAGAACGTCTAAATTCTATATTTTGAAGGACTTTTATTTAACTAGGGTTTCTGCATTGTTTTAATAACTTAAACATGTTTAAACAATTATTTTTAATCATTAAAAATTTAACATTGTGCAAAACTTAAAAGGCTATTTTATAAAGTTTTTATTTTGGTATTCTGAAAGTGACTTCCCCTAAGCATTTAAATGGCATAGTGGCTTTTTTTTTAACACCAAAAAAATAAATTTGTCTAGACATGTAAGAGATTTGGCTCGCTAGTTCCTTTTGCAACGTTAAATAAATTTTCCCTGCAGGAAAATCGCTCGTGGCGGCGGGAAAGATACTGGGGAGTCCCTCTGTGTGCCATTGATTGTGAGCTTTGGTTTACTGCGTGTGCCAACGATGTCACTTGCACAGACAATTGGACCAACAATTTCAGGTGGTTGAATATGACGGGTGATTGCCCAACAAAAGGAAGCTGCTTGACAAATTACTGCCCCGTAAATTCTACCTGTCAAACATTTAAAGAAATCTATAGGACAGCCCGGAACTTCTGTGAAAAGGTATGTTGAACACAACTTTTTTTTTTTTTTTTTTCTTTCTTCCCTCCCCACCTTTCTTGATTCAAAGTTCAGTGTATTATTGTCAATGTGACTTGCCAATTTTATATTTTCCAAATGCCCTAAAATTGGCTATTCAATGTTGGTTTAAATTCATAGGCCTAGAGTAGACTGCCCTCTTAATATTTTTCCTACAAAGATGGGAAAGGGGTTACTGAACATCTACAAATATCACAAAGATTGATGTGGCTTGATTGTTTCCAAATTTCAGTTTGGCAACTTTAATTGTTAAAATATTTTGATGCTATTTTCTTAATAGTACCTGCTATAAGACTCTGCCTCCTGTGTACATGTCTATTGATACCCAGTAAAGGTGGTATCCCTTCCATATGACTTGCCAGACTGGCTTAATTATTACTAAAGTTGTTTACGCTTAACCATGCAACTTTTTTTCCAGCCTTCTCCTTAAACACTGACACACCCAGTACCTGGTAAGGTTAAATGGTGTGCTTCAAAATTACCACTGTACAAGTGCATTTTTTCTCAATCAAGAAATGAGTTCATAAGTTCCTAAAGTCTTGCATAAACCATTCCCTTTAGTGAAGTTTAAAATATACCTGTACTTTAATACCTGCATTTTTATACAAAGTTGACTCTTCATTCTAGGTGTGGGACAATGCTTGGAAATATGCTGAACCGACAACACCATGTATGCACCTACAGTTCAACCAATCTGCCATCAATCCAAATGATGCTGTTGCTCAACATTATGCACAGATTATAGCTGGTTCCCAGATGCACAGCTGCAACCTAATGTGGTTTAGTATACAACTTGCTGTTTGGGCATTTATCAATAGAATATTGACAGTTGCATCCTAGACTTGGCTTGTTGCCATAGTTCATTAATTAACTCTTTACTTTTGACTATAAACTTGCCCTTGCTGAGGGGAAACGATTCTATTAAAATGTTTACAAAGAAAAAAAAAATTCAGAGTGTAATATCCTGATCACATGAGTAATAGTGCTGTATTCTGGTTCTTCCCTTGTGCCTTGTCTACCTCTATTAAATTATCTGAAATGTGCCAGAAATAAAATGCTTCTTTATTTCTATCAGACATCACCCAATGAAATTTTGGTAGATTCTCAACCACATTGGAGTTGTCAAACTTGCAGCCAAGGCCATTTTACTTGTTCTGTTTCACACGTCCCCTCTCCCCCTTAAAAAAAAGTTAGTTTGGAAATCTGCCCAGTCATGATCTGTGAATGTTGGCAAGGTCGTGGGCTTTGTTAAAACTAACAAACTGCACACCATCTCTTTTTCTTGTATAGTCTTTAATATTCTTTAATAGTCTTCTTTATTCTTTAGTATTTTAGTCTTCTTTCTTCTTCTATTCTTTAGTAGTCTTTAATATTTAGATTATTCAAGATAATGGACAGATGGTGCTAGTCTTCCCAGCTTGGTGCTACCTTTTGATGACTGCCACAGATTGGAGAGATTCTTTCTCTGGACTAGAAATCTCTCGCTTCCTCATTACATGTCCCATGCATTGTCCTGTCCCTGCCACCATCTCTCCCTCCTTACCAAACTAGGAAGACCCTCTAGGCAATTTGTTCTTTCTTAAATTCTGCCATCTACATCTTGGTAATTTTGTGGCCACAGCTGCTGTACACCCTTCTCCTTGCTGCCCAATATTTAACAATTGTAGAGTGGATACAAAATTTAAAGTGTGTACATCAATCATCCACCCAGAATTGGCCAATTCTCCTTGCATATAGGCCAGAAGACTAATCTTCTGGCATGTCCTTGTAAATTCCTCCTCCATATTCTCCTTGGACCAAATGCATCCACAAAGTGCACAATTTTTTGTTGTTAAATTTTGGTAGACTGACTTGCATTCACT